GCACTCCGTCCCACCCACCACACCAGTTTGCTGACAGTTTGGCTGGCAGTCACTCATGACTGTGACCTGAACCAGATACACGATGCACGATAATATAATTTATGGCCCTGTTTTGGTGTTTGTTGCTCCGCTGCGTTTTGCTATGTTTGATGCGGCGTGCTACAACGTCCATCCGTTCGTCGGGCCGTTCGACTGTCAGTCGGATAGTCGGTCGACTCATCAACAAATCGTACATTTGAATACAAATTGCAGCATTACCATCCGAGGAGCGGAGAAGCCCCAACGTGTTAAGTGTTAAGTCTGACATGAAATAATTTATGCCAACACGTGAGCGAGCATTACCTGGTGGAGCATTCCCATTCCCTTTGCAGTTAAGAGGCAGTTTACAGTTTTCGATTCAGATTTGTTATATTTGTTGACAATAATTATTTATTAATTTCATTATTTAATTAGTTCGTGAAGTACATTTAGTTTTAGATGCTAGCTTCCGTATGTGTTGTAATTTCAATTTAATATACTTTTCTTTATTCACTACTTATGTGTAGCTCTGTAGTAACTGCAACATTTTATGAGCTAACTGTGCTTGATCAAGAGGTGCCACTGCATTTGAAACCAATTCCTCAACATTGTGTTAATATTAACAAACTTTAATCGAACTCAATGCGAAATCAAATGCAAATAAAAGCAATAATTCATCGCCGGACTCATTTCTGAGGGTCGTCGGCGAGGCTGATTGGCTGGCATTAAGCTGGGCAAACAGCTTGATCCCTTGCTGCTCATATCTTGATTATCTTGGCCAGATATTGTTTCAGTTTGGTCGAATCAACTGTGGCTAGGCTGGCCACAGACAGCCTCACGTTCCTCGGGTCAACATCACGTTCGCCATTTCAAGGACAAAATACATAATACATAAATACCAAGTCAAGGATTCGCCAGCTGCTTTGAGTGCCTAGCACTAAGATAACAACTAAAGCAAAAGTAAAAGTAAAATTAAATGTGAAAGTGAAATAAAACAAAAAAGATTTTAATTTAAGTTTTGATTTGCTTGAATGGTTGGTTCTAGCATTATATTTCTTTTTAATATGTTTTGCGATATTATTTAGTAACATTTAGGCATAATCGATAGGCAATTTGTTAAAATTACGTTTTATAGATACAATAAATAATACTCAGTCTTGCATAATACATGATATAAATATATATATATATATAACAAATAACTAAAACGAACTCAAATCATTTACACATATAGGCTATAGGATTTATTATATTATTTTGTTTTGTTTATTTGCTGTCGAGTGTGCTGCTCTATATAGGACTCTACTAGGACTCACCCGACTCGCAGGTGGGGACAGACGATTCAGCTATTTACAAGTGACTAAGCATGTAAGCATGATCTCCGAGCCCCGAACTATGCCCGATACTCCCCAAGTTCCCAATTCTCCCTCGTACCCCGGCCCCAACAAAATGCCCTCTGTCCCTCTCCCTCTCCCTCTCCCTATTGCTATGCCTTTGCCTCTCCGTCTCGGTTGGCTCTTTAGTTGCTGGGCAATCACGCGGCAACAACAACCACCAATGAGGCGCAATCGTCGTCAGCAGCTGCTGCCGGCAGCAAAGTGGACGTTGCTGTGGACGTCGCATTTCGATGCTCCACGTCCTGCTCCAGCTCATTCCGCAGCTCCTGCTCATCCGGCATGTTAATGCAAATGGTTGGCGAGGCTTTGTCCTCTGTCTGTGCCTGTGCCTGTGCCTGTGCCTGCGCCTGCATCTGCATCTGCATCTGCATCTGCGTCTGTGCCTGATCGACTGTTGCTGACAGTTTGCACTTTTGCAGCTTCTTCTTCGGGCTCTGCTGCACTGCGTCCTTTGCCCAGCCGCCAATGCACGCACGTTGAGTATTGTGACTGTGACTGTGATGATGATGGTGATGATGCACAGCCGCCAGGCTGGGGTACACAAACTTCATGCCGTAGGCAAAATGGCGCGGCTGATGATGCAGCGCCTCGTCGTAGCTGGGCAGCCCGGTGGCAATTGTATAGCAGGGCGGCGATTCGATTTGATAGAAGCCCGCCTCGTTGGCCCCGCCAGGTGAGCTGCCGTTGCCGCTGCCATTGCCATTGCCATTGCCGGGCACCTGCTGCAGCAATCGGCTAGCGTCGCAGCTGATCAGGTGATGACTGGCGCCATGCGAGGAGTACGAGTCGCTGGCCGCATGCAGCTGTGCGCGTATGTCCTTGTCTGCAAATACGAAAAGAGGTTGCAAGTCGTTTAGTCTTTGCTTCTATTTTTTTCTATTTTTCCTTTGCCGTATCTGCTCCGGCTGTCCAACTGTGACTTTGACTTTGACAAACGTCTCATTAGTTTGTTTGTTGGGACTACACACACACACACACACACACACACACACACACACACACACACACACACAC